AATGCAACACTCTGTCTTTGAACTGCCAGGCAAGGTAGTCGCAGAGCTGAAATGGTATTGTGTATGTAATAGTGGCTTGAGGATGTGATGTAGTGATAACAGGCAATAGGTGTAAACAGGGACATGTCAAAAAACACATTTCATGTTCAAAAATGGCTGTTTAATTCATAAAATATCAGACCATTACAGGACGACCCCAGCTCAGTTGTGTTTTATGACAGAGCAGAAGCAGCTTAAAGAAGAGTTTGTTTGCAGCCATATTGCAAATTTTTTTGTGAAAAGGACTAAAGTCAAAAAACCCCACCTTTAAAACAATTTCAGCAAAGAATGCTATCGCATAAACACCACAGGAAAAAAAATACTGTATCTTTTGTTAGTTTAATAAAAACTCTAGACAAAAAAACTTTATTTATATTATACAACTAAGTGGATTAACAATCAGAAATTACTAGTTTTCATTCTTGTCTTACATAAGAGTTGTGGTTTGTAACATTGTAGTTTGAACATTTTACAAAACTCGATTTATTTTAAATAAACCTGTTTTTTAGGTTACACAAGAATTTTGGGCTACAAGATAAAAAGCACTGGAGCRTATGGAGCGTTTAGAAACGTGGGTTATAGCAACTGGTGAGTATTTTTCGCAATATTATACTTGGTTTGATGAAAAAATAGTCATGTAGAATACCTCACATAGTAAACTAGTTTTTTAAACAAGTGGAAAATATTTGCAATCAAGTTTTACCTGACTCATGCACAGCTCAGTTTCTTTCTCTCTTCCTTAGGGTGACAGCCTATGTTGTAAAAATTCTATCGTTGGTGGCAGAGCGTCAAAAAGCAGCTTTTGGACAACAAGGTCGAAATGTCAAAGTTGTACCAGAAGAAGAAATTACCCACTCAGTCAGTTACTTGCTCACAGTACAAACTAATGATGGATCATTCAGTGACCCAAATCCTATGTTTCACAGAGATGTTGAGGTAAGCTTGTACAGATACATGTAAGTATTTATATAATTTGAATAGCTGTGATTTGACTGTGATCTTGCTGTTTTCAATGTAGGAAGACAAAGYGGCATCAGTGACTGCGTACATTATGCTTGCACTGAACCGTTCCCTGGAATTCCTGACCCCTGAGTACCGAACAGAAGTGGTGAGAATAACTACATCTGTTTAGTGGTTGAAAAGGGGAGCAACTTCTTTCTGACGTACAAAGTATAACACTGTCTCTGCTTCTCGTAAAATAAATAAAAAGCAACAGTGACTGACAATATTTACCTCACTTTATTAACAGGAGGCAAGCTTGCTCAGGGCAACAACGTATCTTCTGTCAAGACTGGACGAGCTGCATCATACGTATGCTGTGGCTATTACAGCTTACAGCCTGTCTGTTTGTCTGCCACAAAAAACTGATGGGATACCTGCATGGAGGAAACTTCAGTCACTGATGACAAACGGTAAGTCTAATCCAATAAATAGGCAGGACAGTAGGTTTTAAATAAAATTTCTGAATGTAATTACGGGATGTATGTTCAGAACTGATTAAYTTTTGTAGYAAACCYGATTCAAGATGGCTGCCACAACCAACTGACAATAACAAAGATGACTTCATCAATCGATTTTACGTGTGCTGGCAACTGACACTGATCCCCAACACAAAATCTGAGCACCAACAGAATCTGCAAAGACTTGGTTAAAAATGTTGACATTACCTAATTTGGAGTCAACTCTGCCCATATGCTAATGTATCTCATAAACCATGGACAGATAAAACTTTCAAGAATCAATCATTAAAAGTATCTATACAACTGATTTATTTAAGACWACCTAATTCAAGATGGCTGCTACAGCCAATTAAAGAAAACACAAAWATGACAATAACTACCATTTTTTAYAATTGTAATGTACATTGTCGTCATTGTGGGTTCTCATCCAATGAGAATTGTTTTCCTCTGCGATTAACCAATCTACACATGAGATGCACCTGAGCCTGTCAGGGATGCTCCCTTTACACCTAATCATGACACTCACCTGTTTCTAATTAACCTGTTCACATGTGGAATGCTCCAAACAGGTGTTGGAGCATTGTCAGTCTTTTGTTATGCCTTTCCCAGCTTTTTTGGAACAAGTTGCAGGCATCAAATAAAAAAAAAATCAGTGGATATTTTCAAAATCTAATAAAGTTTATCTGTTTGAACAATGAATAGCATGTCTTTGTAATGTATTCAATTGGATTTAGGTTGAAAAGGATTTGCAAAAAATCATTTTCTATTTTTATTTAAGTTTTACACAACATTTCAGACTCATTGGAATTGGGGTTGTGTTTTACTGACAGACAATTATAGCCATTAATTTCATATTAGTAAAATGATTGTAATAAATGTTATTAATATTCTGTGACAGAAGAAAATGACTGCTACCCATGGAAAAGACATCCTAGCCCAACAAAAAGAAAGGCGACAGATGCCATCACAGTAGAGACAACAGCCTATGCTCTTCTGACGGCAGTGCAATTTGAAGATGACAAGTGGGCAGACCAGTTAGCATGTTGGTTAACAAGCCAAGAAAATTATCATGGAGGCTTCATATCAACACAGGTAATTGCTCTGCTGCACAGACAGTGAACAGTGACCATGAAAACAGATGTCAAACATGCTTTTTTCAATGCACTCTACAAAAGGATACAGTGATGGCACTCGAAGCACTGTCAGAGTATGAGCTGAAGAGGTACAAACCAGAACCAGATGCAAACTTGATGGCTACATTCACTGTCCCAGGAAAGACCAAACGTTTTACACTTGCAGTGGAAAACAAAAAAGAAAAAGTTGAAACAGAACTAAAGGTAACATGTGTCTCCTGTGTCACTTACAGTAAAAAGAGATGTTGTAAATTTAGATCGATCTGTGGAAATGCTTGCTTTCTTGCTTGTCTCAGCCTCTCGCAGGGAACATCATCACTGTGCAGCTGACAGGAAGTGGCAATTTTAAAGTGAAAGTAAGTTCACCTGATTAGTTTCGTTCTTTTTCATGGCTGACATACAGTATATGATCAACAGTAAATTTTCTATTGCCAGACTGTAAAAGCCTACCATCTGCTGGACCCTGAGGACGACTGTACACAACTTTCTATAAATGTTACAGTGGAKGGGAAGGTGAGGTACACTGGTGAGTAGGAATGTAATGAATCACAATTATATTATTGATTTTAAATTAAAAAATTATGAAAATGTATATACTTTTTTATCAACAGAATGAATTATAGCCATTTTTACCAAATACTTTTCTTTAAACATTAGCATATTCCTCCTTGTATTAACTGCCTGTCGTCTTAGTAAAATAATATAACCTCAGAATAAATAAAATTATCACAAATCCTTTTGTGACCAAAGGTTATCAAATATTCAAGTTTCAAACTGAATTTTTTTAAGGACATAACCTACAGTTATACAACAACAATGAAATCGATCCATTTTTTTATGAATTGATTCACATTTGAAGCATTTACAATAGATTATTAATCAATCTGAATTAATTGTTTTATCCCTACTGTTGAGTTTTAATAAAAACAAAAACACAACTACCAATAAATGTGCCCTTACAGCCATTTCTGTCGTTTCAGATAAGATCATAGAGAATTATAACTATTATGACTATGATCTCACTGATGAGAAACAAGGACAAGAAGCACCAGAAACGCTGAMTGAGCAGTTCGATGCTCTCACGAGAAACAGGAGAGACACTGAAAAAAACCTAAATACAGACAACACTATTACCTACACAGTCTGTGTCAGGTTAGATTATTATTATTATTTGATAAAAATGTAATAATTTATGATGAGCTTCCCAACTTTGTTTTCTTTTCTTTGCAATCATAGTGCGAACACCAATCTTACAGGAATGGCCATTGCTGACATCACGTTATTAAGTGGATTTGAGGCTAAAACTGAAGACCTAGAGAAGGTTTGTGGTTCTCTTTCTACCCTCTTTGAACCTTCTGAGAAAGATGATAGTGATCCTTTTTCTCAGAAGGTTAACTTTTTTCCTAACAAGTGGTTAGATCAAATCTTTAGTTTGAATGGACAAAACTCAATTAGATAAACGCAATAAAGCAAAATTGTTGGGACTAATATTTAGTTGTAAATGTTTGAAGGTGCATTCACAATCACTTTCCAAAAAAAGCAGAGTTATTTAATTTTTATACAAGATTATATATATATATATANCTTGTAATTTATTGAAATTATTTATGAACATTTGTTTAACCTCAAAAGTACCATTTTTAAATTAAATCTAACCTTAAATTTTGCTGAAACAGCAAGTTTCTCAGTGGATCTGCACTCAAAAACACAGCCTAGATAGAGTATTTGAACACAGATCCTCTGATCCTTCAACACAGAGCATCTTCAGAAGACAAAAGTTCATAAAATAAATTTTAAAAAATCTGTATTGTTCGATACAAGTGTGTATTGAACCGAAAGCACTGTATTGAACGGTTCGATATGGGTACATGTATTGTTGCACCCCTATTAGTTACATATTGTTATTAATTACTTGTATTTTTTTGACTTTTGTCAAATGTCTAATGATGGAAGTGAAACAGAGCAGGCGTTGAACTGATTGAAACGACAAGTCCTCTCAAGTTGCCTACATTAGACCTGGACTCAGAAATTAGACCTATACAAGATGTTAATATCTGCTTGTTCCTACCTCCTTTTGACAAGATTGTAAAAATGTAAAATAAAGGCATTAGCTGAACAGGATTAAACATAAAGATAAAATATCTAAAACTTGGTCTAGTTTCAGGAAGAATTCAAGGAGAAAATATAAAAGATCACCTGCATATTTTTGAGTACAACGGATTTTCATTTAGTTACCATTTCAGCGTGTAGAAGCAATGATAAACATACAAAGGTATTTGCTCAAAAACATGACAACGCTTTTATTTCAGTTTGTCACTTGCAATTAAACCAGACATAAAAAATGACAAAAGTGCAGAGCTAGGCTGAATCTGTCACACACAATTTTTATTTGTATAAGTGCATATATACTGGATAGATGATGATGATGGTTTATTACACCTAATTAGAAACATTAATAAGTTGGATAGTAAAAATCTTTGCCATCTAATCTGACTGTAGTAATTTTAATAACAATCAGCAGATCTAAATGACAGTAAAGTTAATGGATTTGGCGTCTTTTACTGTTTGCAGCCATAATCCTTGAATTCTTCAACGAAAGTATTAAACGCTTCACAACCATTTGCTTTAACAGATTTGCTGCATTCGTCTGCCAGAGGTCTTTTTTCAACCCACGTGGTTGATTCCAGCAGATACTGCATCCTACAAACACATTGGGGACAGCAATTCAGTCAGCTAGCATTGGTAATTTTATTGACATAACTGATCATACTTACTCTCCATTTGAATCTTTAGTGGCGCCATCTTTGCCCATAATGAGATATTGTTTTCTTAATTCTAACTCCCCTTTACACTGAAGCCTCCTGGCAAACACTCGGACAGAATTGGTATTTACATGATGATCTCCATCTGGTGAACAAAGTATAACCATTACATTGATTAAAAGTTCTCAAAAATGCACAAGAATTTAAAAGTTTTTCTTGAACCTTCACTAAGACTCGTGGTTACTTACAAAATTTGAGGACGTCATTTATGTTAGCTTTATACAGCTCAAAGTTGCTCTTAACAGAAACACTCTGGATCTCAACAATGTATGCTGAAACACAAAAAGAGTCAACTCTGAATAACACATACACATTTGAACCGCTTATTAGCATGAACTTTAAAAACAAATAGTTACAAGGTAAAATTAACATTTTTACTTCATTCTGGCAGGTTAATGTACTTTATAAGGTACTGACCGTAATCCACTATTGGGAAGAAGCAAGCATGATCTGGTCTCTTTTCTCTTGCGAGTAATTTACCTCKCTGTACTTTGAATGTATCCTGCAGTTTATGACAGGGTCCTATAGAAAACAACAAATTGCAGGTAAGGTTATTTACACAAACCCAAGTTGTACAAAAACGTTTTTTTTTTCCGAAGCCAGCATAGGTCAAAATATCATACAATTTAAATTTGTAAAACCAAATTGTTGATAAAAGTTTGCAATAAAACCATTTGAATGAAGAATCTTTGACCCATAAACCATCCAGGGATCCTTCAGCTAATACACAACATAAATATTACGATACTTTTGGTTTTGTGTTGTTTTTTTAAGAATTATTTTGACAGTAGTTTCATGTTAGCCTGTAGTTATTTTCAGTAGTCAAATCAATACATTATACAGTATTTTTGCTTATCAGGCGGTTATAATGGTCAGTGCCTCAGTCTTCTTATCCTGAGCCTGCAGTTTTCAAACCTGGTTGCATCAAGAAGGGCATGGCAATAAAACAACTGTACAATTTTTCATGCATATCCTCTCGCTGTGGTGACCCTTGCTGAAGGGAACAGCCAAGAAAACATAAGTGATTTTTTATATATATATATATATATATATATAGGGGGTTAGACACTGAAATTCAAACACCTGTCATTTTAGTGTGGGAGGTTTCATGTCTAAATTGGACCAGTCTGGTGGTCAATCTTCACTATTTGCACATTGCACCAGTAAGAGCAGAGTGTGAAGGTTCAATTAGCAGGGTAAGAGCACAGTTTTGCTTAAAATATTGCAATGCACACAACATTATGGGTGATATACCAGAGTGCAAAAGAGGACAAATTGTTGGTACACATATTGCTGGTGCATCTGTGACCAAGACAGCAAGTCTTTGTGACGTATCAAGAGCCATAYGGTGAATTATTCAGCCACTACCAAATCAAATTTGAGCTCAATTTCTTTCAAGGCTTACTGGGTTATGGCCATTTTTCATCTGCTGTGGCAGCCATCTTGAATTGGGCTTCAAAAGTTGTTTATAAATGTACATTCAATATTTACTGAGAGTTTCAAAAAAATATATCCAGTAATTCATGGCATATTTTGATAACAGACAAACATGAACACCGACAAAAGTAAAATGCTATTGCCCACCACCAAATGGTGGGCCAAATCTTTGTAACAACCTCTCAGTTTTAAAATTTCATTCTGTCACACAGACACTGTATTCTTCTCTCCTCAGTTAAAGTTGCCACCAGAACAATACATTAGCCATTATGAACTATCCTATGGAAGAGTGCTCATATACTTCAATGAGGTAAAAAAAAATCACACACACATAGAGGTATATACAATATATGTACCACAATCATATATAGTTTTAACTGATAATTTCTGTCGTTTCATGTCTTATTTTCTCAGCTCCTGGAGCAACGAGAATGTATAAGTTTTGATGCAGTACAATTAGTGGCAATTGGCCTCCTCCAGCCTGCTCCTGCTGTGTTTTATGATTATTACGAACCAGGTAAGTTTTCATTTTATATTTTGAACAATTAATTTGAAGAGTGTATTTCCAAAATTTTCAGTTTTATTTGTGAGGTATTTGTGCTTTCCTTGCAGACAGAAAGTGCACAGTGTTCTACTCTGCCCCACAAAGAAGCAAGATGGTCTCCAAACTGTGTTCAGAGGATGTTTGTCAATGTGCAGAAAGTACGCCATTCTCTCAGACTCCATCTCCATCTTGTTTTTGTCATGTGTGTCTTCTTGAATGGGTGTTCTTCATAAGGCATAATCATCTAAATAATTTATTTTTAAAAAATGTATTTTAGATATCTTTAGAATCTCCTGCCCAAAGTGGTCTTGGGCCCTGCCAGTAGACAGCAAAACTTCATATATGCCAATTTAAAAAAAAAATTCTGGATAAAAAAATAAATAACTGCAAAGTTATCTGTTTCTACTGTCAGATAACCCAGTGAGTAGTGTTAAAAAGCAGTTTACCTTTAYATTTTTTAAAATCTAAATCACAATTTGCCCATGCAATTCTCTTAATTTACTGGACCATCGACTGGTACATTCCAACCCTCACCTATGGTCATGAGGTTTGAATAATGACCAAAAGAACAAGATTCTTGAAGCCGGCAGCTAAAGTGAGCTTTCTCTGTAGGATGACTGCAGAAACTTAGAGATATGGTGAGGAGCTCAGAGTAGAGCCTTTACATAGAAAGGAGTCAGTTGAGGTGGTTTGGGCATCTATTTTAGGGTATCTCCTGGACGCCTCCACTTGAAGGCACGTCCCAGACTCGACTTTGGGACTTTGTCCTATATAACCTCTCTGACCTGAGAACACCTTGGGAGGATCTGGAAAGTGTCACTGGGGAGAAGGATGTCTGGGTTTTTGTCCTGGATTTGTTGCCTTTGTAACCTAACTATGGAGAGGCGGTAGAAGATGAATAATCTAAAGAAAAAAAATGGGAAAATGGGATTTTGGTCAAAGTGTCGGGACTTTTTGGATGTGTTCTAYTTGCTGATGATACAACATTCTTTAGTTCCGGCAAAGATATAGAACAAATGCTGGAGATGGTGACAGAATTTGTGAAAATACAAAGTTGGTTTCAACTAAATAAATTATCATTAAACTTGGACAAGACAAATTATATGATTTTCAGTAACAGTAAGAAAACTGTGGATGTTTCATTTAAAATTGATGATGTTGAGATCAGTAGAGTCAGTGAAGTTTCTAGGTGTCATTATTGATGAAAAACTAACATGGAAAAATCATATAAATGGTTTAAAAACAAAAATAGCCAAATATATTGGTGTACTGTACAAAGTAAGAGAACTGTTCAACGATAAAGCACTGTTTATGTTGTATAACACTATAATTGCTCCACATTTACTGTATTGAAGTATGGGGTAAAGCTTGTAAAACTATCACAAATCCTATTTTTATTTTACAGAAAAGAGCTATAAGAATTATTACTAGAAAAAATTACAGCCATCCATCGAATATATAGTTTTATGATTTGAAATTATTAAAATTCTATGATTTGGTTGATTATAATATTTTAATATTAATGTACAGAGCTCATAAAGGTGTGTTACCTTCCAACATTAAAGTAAATTTTGTTAAAAGACAGAGCTGTTATTATCTTAAGGGAATCGAAATGTTTGTGAAATCCTGGGTTCGTACGAGCCTGAAGGAGCGATCCACTTTAATCCAGGGAATAAGATTGTGGAATGGTCTGGAAGATGAGATTAAAAATGCCAGATCTTTGTATATTTTGAAGAGAATGATAAAATCTGGTATTCTGAAGAAATATAGAGACGTGAATTCATACAAATTGTTGTTTGAGTTGGTGTTTTAAATTTTGTTTTTAGTTTTTTGTGTTTTTCAATTGTTTAGATTTTTGTTGTAATTTACTTTTCTTTTTAACATATTTTGGGTATAAAAAGGGGCAGATATAAGATTTATTCTTCTTCTG